GTGGGAGACAAATTCAGCCACTTTAGACCAAGCAGAAAAACAAACTACATTCCTTACTTTCCTGGCAAGAAACTACTAAGCATTTTGGGAAAAGGAACTACCACAAACCATTAAATTATACAATGCTCCATGTACTGTCATCACTAAAAATTCGATGAGGACAACTGCAAATTCAGGGATCACTAATTGGTAGCCACTTTACTACGCTACTGTAGAAAAAAGCTCTTGGGCAGCTTGAAGTACGGCTTCAAAGATGAAACTAATCCTCTCCCTTCTAACAGTACAACTTTGGCTCAAACTCCAGAAGACAATGCAAGGTTTCTAACCCTTATCGTAAATAAGAATATCCTTTCAGCCCAGTCTTATATGTTTAAACCTAGACTAAGGATTAAACTTAAGACACTGGTCTCTCCTCTGTGTGCCCTAGTGACTTAAAGAAGGCTTCTGTTCACTTTTTTGTTCTATGATCCTGTTGAGAAGTGCCTGGTGCTCCCCAAGACTGGACAGAAAACAGACATTCAACCTGGCGCTCTGGATTCTGCTCCACAGGAGGAATCTGCTCAAGTCCTTTCACATATCTGATTTTAGCTTCACAAGCACTTAACAGTTAACGGCTCACCAAGATACTTACCTGTTCTTCCCTTTTCTGTTTACGAAGCTGGATTCCTTCCTCCTCTCTTCGTCTTCGCATTTCTTGAGGATTAAGTGCATTATTCTTGTAGCTTTTCATTCTGAAGTTATCTTTACCTGGGCTTGCCATGTTGTCTACCAAAAAAAGAAGAATTACTCCAAAAGGTCAAACCTTGCAAGGCAAACACGCCATCTTTTGTACTACAAGAATATATACTCCTTGTATACTTGTACTACAAGTATATATACTCCTATAGCTGCTTGCAATATCCAGTTCATCAACAAAAATCTCTAAGGTAGAAATCAGAGAAAAATCTTTGCCTAGATGGGCATTTCTAAACTGCAGATTAAACTACAGATCATCTCAGCTACTGCAAAAAGAAGTTATGGGTCTTATGAGCAAACTGAGAAACAAAAAGCAAAAACATTACACTGCTAAATTTTGATTCTGTCAGCAAGTAAAGGAATTTGCTTCCTCCTCTCATAAAGGAGACACTAAATGTATTAAAACATAAGGACAAATCCAAGAAGAAAACCTGCAGTAATTACCATTTAATTTAATATCTTACTGCATTGTTTCTTTTTTTTTTTTTTTTTTTTTAAGATGTCTAGCTCGCAAACATAACACAGGATCTAAAGGTTATGCCGCGTTTCCTTCTAAACTGTATGCAGAAAAAACTCTGCAGAAAAACAAATTAAGGGTCAGTAGTACCCAGACAGGCATACTCTTTTCCATTTAAAACTAAGATAATGATTGACCCATTCTAATTAACAACTCTTTTGATGGATTAGAGGATTAGAATCTGCCTGTCATTTCAGGCCTATCAGTTGTGAAAAGATGAAAGTGATAAAACAAGATTCTGTCACTGAAATGATCAAACTGACTGACTGAAAAAGGTTGTTAATAGCACAGTGCTAGTTTTTAAAGCTAGAACTGTGGCCTTCATCTGAGAAATAACTGTCAAAAATATGATTTAAGACTCTACACGAATTCTCACTTATGTGAAATTCTTCCACAACAAGCAAACATACATAAGAATATCTGAACTACGGCTCTTGAGCTGTGCACAATGCTCTATCAACTTCCATGCTAAGACTGTTTATTTTATTATATCAGCAGTACCAAGGACTGCTGCGCAATAAACACAAGCTATGAGAGAAAACACAGTCTGCAGACTTAAGGCTGACATCAACAAGACACTTGGAGGACTCAGCAACCTGTTTCACCCAAACGTATTTGCTTCACAAGAGCCTTAGTAAACTACTGCCATCTCTGGACCACAATGCTAAGTATGCCATCACGTAAAGCAATTTGCTAGTAACTGTCATGTAACTTTTGAGATACAATTTAAGAAGATTTTTCCAACAACGCTACTGGCTTAACTAGTCGTAGAACATCATCACTTCCTTAATCACTCGTGCCTTGCTAATTTAGTTGCACCAATAAAACTGTCAGGCCAAGAAATGAACTAAACAAAAGCAGCGTGCACTCAAAGTAACCCAGTTTAGGTCACCAGCTCAATAAAGAGTTACAGAAGCACAACTGGGAGGAAGCTCTCATCAAAACTGTTTTCAAAAAGAAAAGCTTATGAATTTATAGCTTCACTCCCCCCACAAGAGTGTTCGTATAGACATCATAAGGGCAAAAAGACTGTCAGTCCCTGATCTATTCAGGCTTCACAACTTCTACGTCCAAGGAAGCCTGCGCTTCTGCTCTGCAAACTACACTCGTTTTAACACCAAATCCCTCTTCCCAGCACATCCTGCATCTCACCCACTTGTTGTGCCTAGACTAAGACCTACCCTAGTAATAGCTTTTTTTCTCCCTGCCTACATAAGGCTCCCTAAATACCGCGCCTCGCTGTATCACCGCCCCCTCCCCGGCCAGCAGCGCCGGGGGAGGCCGCACGGGCTTCCAGGCGCTGCCCGCCGGCTTCGCACCGGCCAAGACCCCGGCGCAGGGCCGGGTCAGACCGCAAGCCCCCTTGCCGCGGCTGCCCGGCCGAGAGGACACCTACCCCGGCCACAAAGAGCGACCAGCGAAGCTCTTCACCCGCGTCCCTTGAAGAGGGGGTGGAAAAGCCCCCTCAGCAGCAGCAGCAGCAGGGCAGGGAGGCGGGAGGAAGGCAGCCCTCCGACTGAGGAAGCGACGGACAACAGCGCGTGAAGACCCCGTCCCAGCACCGACCGCCCCGCCTGGCGGGGACCGAGCTGCCGCGCGCGGCAACGCAGGAGGAGACCGGCCTGCGCCGGGGAGCCTCACAGCAAGGGGCACCACACCGCACACCGCACACCGCACCCCGCACCGCGCCGAGGGGGACACAGCCCCTCCTGCCCCCACCCGCCGACTCTCGGCGCTGTTCCGCTCTTACCCATCGAAGCGGAGCCGCACGGCGCCTGCCGCCCTGCAAGCGAGAGAACCCCGCCCCGCTGGGGAGCGCGGCGCCGGCAGCGGACGGCAATTCAAGATGGCGGACGCCGCCC